GCTTCGAAGCAATTGTAGTGGCTAGGCAAACTTTATTCCTTAATGTCAATGAAGCCGAAAAAAATTTCTACAAAAAAACAATAAACATACCAAGTTAGATATACCAAAAATTACACTGTCAAGATATACCAAAAACAAAACAATAAACATAAATAGTAGTTTATTCTTGAAACTAAAATTTGCAACACTGTTTTTGTCTTTTGGTTGAAATAAAAATCGCAACGAGATAATGAGAATCGCAACGCGGAAATGACTATCGCAACGAGAGAATCGCAACACGAAATGACTATCGCGACCAGACAATCGCAACGCGAAATGAAAATCGCAACCGCGAAATAAAAATCGTAACGCGAAATGAAAATCGCAACGCGAAATGAAAATCGCAATGCGATTTTGGTTTCGCGTTGCGATTTTTATTTCGCGTTGCGATAGTTATTTCCGCGTTGCGATTTTCATTCTCGAAACTATTCTTCTTCTGCATTACTTCAACCAAAAGACAAAGCAAAGACAAATACTAACTTCACAGGCTAAACAGTTTAGCAGTATTGGCAGCAATCGAATGAATTTAATAAGAAATCTAAGTGAAATGGTTAATCTATTATTGAAATTACCAGTAAACTTATCATCAATCTCAATATGAAAAACCTAAAATAATGCAAAAATTTCAAAAATAAAAATAAAAAAACTAACCCTCGGAGGTTGATTTTTCACTTCTGAATGATTGTGAGGGATTTTTGACTGTGAATGGTTGTAAGGGATTTCGCCGGCGATGGGGACGGAAATCTTCGGAGATGGGGACGAATTTCGCCGTAGAGAGTGAGAGATGGAGATGGGACTGAGTGTTGTGTTTTTGGGTTTGAGGTTATGAGTTGCGATTACTGTGGACGGTTCAGTTTCCGATTTATTAAGAAAAAATTCGTGTTTGGAATTTGAAAAAAAAATACGCGTTAATACGAATGGCGCTATGTAAATCACGTTGCGAAAGTCAGAATCGCGTTGTGAAAGTCAGTATCTCGTTGCGATTTTGCATTATCGCATTGCGATAGTAAGTATCGCATTGCGATAGTCAGTATCGCATTGCGATTTTCCCAATTCGCGTTGCGATTTACTTATTCGCATTGCGAATTGGGAAAATCGCAACGACATTGTATACCATCGCAACGCGATTTCCAACTATCGCAACGCGAAATGCAACGCGAATTTGCGATAATGGAGATCGCGTTGCGAATTAGCGATCGCATTGCGATTTTGTTGGTCATTTTGGCAAATCCGGAAAAAGTTGGTTAAAATCGTATATTATATGGGATTTTTGGTCACTGAGGTTATTTTCTCTTTTTTTTTTTTTTTTTTATGGGACTGAAGTGGTTTGATTTGGAAAATTTTGAAAATAGAGGTCGTGAAACGAATGAGGCGAAACTTTTCAAGTCCTTATATGCAATAATAGAGAAATAAAAGTACAAAATTAAAAATTGATTACACCGTTAACATCCAGGTTGTCCCACTTTATTACACGTGGCTCTATGATTTCCTGTTGAATCAGTTCCAATAATAATGTTTAGATTTGTGAGCGGAGCCGCAGCGGTGAGGGTCCGATATTATTCGAATCGAGCTTGGTCAAAAAATTTTGAGTTATTCAAGTTGACGATTTTATTTTATTATTTCAAATTGACTTGAATTTTTTTAAGTTTATTCGAATTGAGTCGAGTCGAGTCGAATTTTTGAGTTTATGTTTAAATTTAATTATAAATATTTATAATATTATGATATTATTTGATTCCAATTTAAATGATTTTTATAACTATATACAATACATATATATTTCTTCATATATTTTTCATATGCGATGTACATATATTAAACTTAAAAATTATTTCAATAATTATTAAAAATTTCGAGTTATATTCCACAACTCGATTTGAACTTGAAATTATTCGAGTCGAGTTTATAAAATTACTACTCGAAGTCAATCCGAATCGAGTTTTCTTGAGTTGAGTTTAGTTTAGTAAAAAAATCAATTTTTCGAATCGAGTCGAGTTTTACTCACTTCTAAATGAAGGATCATTCTATTTATATCCGATGATGAACTTAGGGCGTCAGTGGTCATTGAAAATATATTTGATTTGAATACGGTGAATTTTGATTTAATTTAATTTTATATGATTATATTAAAAATTATATTTGGGTCAGAAAAAGTTGGAAGATAAAAGTTAGGTTAAATTTAGATTTATGGTGATAATAATAATATAATTAAATATATATATTTAAAGATATTGTTATAATTCTTTGTATTCCACAAATATCTATTAATGAGGCGATTTTCTTAATTTAATTTATTCTTTTATAATATTAATATTTAAATATTTGAATTTATTTAAGAGATCAATTACTTTATCTGATTAAATCAACAGATGGAGATGGGACGATTTTGAATATAAATAAAACTTTGATTATTTGATTATATTTGAATGGTTGTGTCGGTAATTGAATTTACAAAAATTATTATTATATTTATCAAATTATTACAAAATAATCAATATGATGTTATAATAATTATAAATTTTCTAATTTTAAAAGAAAACAAGCATCAACTTGATAAAAAAACAAATACTGCCTTGTACTTACCACGTATTAATAAAAAAAAGTTTTAAAAAATTTAACATATGAAATTAATTAAAGAATATTTTAGGTACTTAGATGAAAAAATTGAGTACTTTAGGTACATGCTTTGATCAAAAAATACATTAAGTGCCTATTTTGATCAGAAAGACAACTTTAGGTACTTATTTTGACAAAAAAATATTTTAGGTACTTAAATGTAAAAGATGGTATACTTCAAGTACTTATTTGCTATTAAGCCTGTTTTTTATGTCATGTTTAATTTACTCCTTTATATCATATAATCATATAAGTCGTAGTATTGTTGAGTCAAGTAGAAATGTGCTTTGTATAACCTTGTTCTTAAATTTCCATAATTATAATATTTGAAAAATAATTGATACACAAGTTGTGTAAATTTAATTTACATAATTCTATCTTTTAGAGTTAGGGTATGTTTTAATCTTTATGGATTTAGGGTCTAGAGTTAGAAATTTAAGATTCAGGGTTTTAGAATTTAAAGGTTTAGGAATCAAATATAGACTTAAGGGAGCAGGTGGGGATAGTCGCTTCTTTTAAAAAATTTAAATGCTCGTATATTTTAAATATTTTCTTTGTATTTTATATTGATAATTTATTTTAATGTCTTAATTTTTTTTTAAGTTCATCCATCTTGAAAATTTATCAGATTGCACGAACCAATTTATCTTACTGATTAAAGGAATTGTTGTTGTTCCTAGAGGTTGTGGGTTCGAGCACCAGCAGTTGCAGCAGGGTGATTGAACATTCATTGTCAAATAATTGAGAGTAATTAGAACATATACTACTTTGTAATCACCTTAGTTTAATAAAAAAAACTATAAGTACACAAATTTTAATGCATGGGAAGAAGGGTTTACAAGTTATTGACTTGTCATTTTCCTACAAGTTTTCTTATACCATAAAATATGGGAATTTTTGTAATTATGAGAGATTTAAGATAATTTTATGGGAATAATAATAATTTAATAATTTTACTTGTCTTTTTTTCAAATTTATTTAGAGTAAAGTACACAAATGGTCTTCTAACTATAGAGTACTGTTTTTAAGTCCCTAACTATTGAAAGTTACAAAATGATCATCCGACTATAAATTGTTGTTTTGTTGAGTCATCGACTATTAAAAGTTACAAAATAGTAATCCAACTATTCATTATATTCCAAACTCATCTTTTTTTTTTGCTTAAAAACTGGCGGTTGTCTAAGTTGTATGTCAACATGATGACTAGTATATGATAGTCATTTGAGATTTTGGGATCGAATTTTATCATATCACAATCAAGAACTTAACATCCAGCTTAGAATATCATCAATTTTTTAACGAAAAAGGATGAGTTGGGACATAATGAATAGTCGGGTGACAATTTGTAACTTTTAATAGTCGGGGACTAAAAAAATAACTTTCTATATAGTCAGATGACTATTTGTAACTTTTAATAGTCTATGCGCTTAATAAAGCAATATTCTATAGTCAAGGACCATTTGTGTGATTTATCCATTTATTTATATTTGTGATTTATTTCTTTCAACCCAAAAAATGAATAGATTAAATATGTGTGAAATAATATGTTTTGCATTAGGCTAGATTTTTTTTCAAGTCAATTAGCTCCATTTTGAATTAGAATAGTTTTTTATTAGTGTAGAGGGATTATAAGATAATATCTGTTTGAAATTCTCTCTATCAGTTGACAATAAACACACATTGTAAGGGTCGTTGCTTGAACCCGAGACCTCTGAGAGAATAACACTCCCTTTGACCATTAAAATTACTTGATGAGTTATGAATTAGAAATAAATACTTGATTGAATTAATTAGAAATATAGTAGAAGTTTTAATTTTAATATACACTTCAATTTGAAAATGAATGTTAGAAAATATTAATTCCAATTGAAGCCCTTAAACAACTTGAAAACTAAATTTGGATCCAAATTCCTATTTAAAATTCTTATATTTAAACTCAAAAAGGCAATTTTCTGAAAAAAAGGGTAAATTACCAAAATGGTCACTTATTTATAAATATTAACATTTTTAGGGTTAATATGATATTTTACCTAAAGTTTAAGGGTTAAATTGATATTTTATCAAAAGTTTAGAGATCAAATTAGAAATTACTCATTTTATTAATGTTTTGTGTCATCAACCTAACAACGACTCAGTGATCAATATATACCAATCGATAACGTAAATGATCAAAATATAATAAAATTAAAATGTTAACGTAAATGACCTAAACACAATGTTTTACAAATAGATGACCAAAAGTGAACAAAACTGAAATAGAAATGGTCATTCTTATATTTTATCCAAAACAAAAATGTGCATGAAGGTTGACCCTCCAATTCACAAGAGATACGCTCTACCCTTGAGCTCTCTGAGCCATGGCGGCTTCTATTTCTCGGCTTCCCTTTTTATATCTCTTTGAAAATCATCGCAAATCACATCAATTTGAGCCAACCGCAGCCGATTCAGATGGACAAGAAGCGACGAAAAGTCAAGATCGAGGAACAAAATCAAATCAATTCCGCCATGGATGACCACGAAACTCCCGTTCTTGAACCTGTAATCTCCGCCTCTTTTGTATCAATTTCCTTTTATGTTTTTCTTATTCGAATCGATTTGTTTGGCATCAATGCATATTTGTTTCTCCTTCAAGGATTTGACCAGAGACATCTTCAAGCAGATTTGGACCAGAAAAGCTCAAGGTTTCGCAATTTGATCGATCTCGCCGTTTTCTCCTTCCATTTTAACCTCAATTCATAATCTAAAACTTAGGGTTTCGGTGTTTTTAATTCCAGAGCGTGAAGGAATCGATTTTCATCAGACCGACGCCATGGATTCCGAGGTACCTTCATTACTGATTTGTTCTTCCGCATTTCATCACTTGTTTCACTGATATCTTTAATTTTAATCGTAGGTTGTAGCAGGAACATCAAAGAAGATTCGACCAACATTCGGTAAATTTATTTCTTAAACAGGTTCAAATATTAATATTATAAATTGAACGAATTGATTCATAAATTATTCTTATAATATATTTTTACAATATTTAATCTGATCAATAATAAATTTAAACTTATAAAAACAATCAAATACAATGTAAAAGAAAAAATATCCTAACGTTTGATTAAATAATTATTTTGATTATTATTTACTTTTATTTAGAGCATTTTACCTGAAATAATTTATTTTAAGGTAAAAACACTCGTAATATTAGCAAAATTGCTAGTAGGGAAGACACAGGGAACACAATACGTCTTCCCCATTCTTCACGTTGTTGGAATGCCAATATTACCATAGGAACAAAACAGAAGACGCACTGTGGTCCTCGTGACTTCTCGAAAATGTATTGTGTTCCCGGCGTCTCCCGACTAGCACTGTAGCATTCACATTATATCAGGAAATAAATCCGACGAGACCCCATATGAGCCAATAATTTTTCCCTGCCCTACATGAGCAACTTTTCCCATAATATTTTAGTAAATAGTTGTTTTAACACTTATTCTTTTTTTAAGAAAAGTATTTTGGCCCAACATTTCATTTAGGGAAAAAATGTCATGGAGTGTTGACACTTTGTTAATCAATGGTTTCCATTCATAAAGGAATTTTTTGTCTAAAAATAAAACCTTAATGCTAAAATGTTTAAACATAAGGACTAAAGTAACTATTTAGTCAAATGCTATTTAACAAAACAAATTAATATTTTATTATCTGACGGTTTTCATTCATGAAAAGATTTTTTGCTTCAAATGGAATGTTGAGATTAAAATACTAAAAGAAAGGAGTTAAGTGACTATCTAATCAGAAGTTAGTTAATAAATTAATGTTTATTAATTGACGATTTCGTAACAATCTTTTTACTCTAAAATAAAAATTAGAATAAAATGTTCTAAAAAAAATTAAGAGTCAAAAAGACGATTTAATCGGATGCTAAGAATGTTTTTATCATTATGTCTAATAATTAGTGTTCAATGTGTTCTAGTAATTTGAACATTGACTGATGCTTCAAAGTACGTATAAATCTACCATTATTGAAATCAATCTGATTGCAGCTAATCCAAATGCTCTAAAGCTGAGTTGCGAACTCGTTCGGATTTTCATTACAGGTTCTTTTTGTATTTAAAAAAGTGTTTATTGCAGAATTTAAATTAGACTATTTTTTTGGTAGTTTTTTTTTTGAGTTAGTTGCATCTTACATTCCTAATATATGACCTCTATTTCAAATTGCTCCCTAAACTTTTAAACATTTCAATCTTATCCTTAAACTATGGCTATCTTTCTAAATTATTCTTCAAACTTCTAAATATTTCATTTCCATCCCCAAACTGTGATCTTCATTCTAAATTGGTCCTTGAACTTTTTGAACATTTCAATTTTATTCTAAATTATAGGTATATAGTAGGCACATCTCTTATTAATAAAACCATTAGGCCAAGCTATTTTATTATATATTTGAAAAAAATAGTTTAAAATATGGTTGAAATGGATTATACATTTAGATGAATTTAGGGATGAAATTGGAAGATCTAAAAGTTTAGGGACTGATTTAGAATGAGATTCATAATTTGGGGATAAGATTGGGATGTTCAAAAGTTTAAGGACTGATACAGAATGAGAGTCATAGTTTGAGCATGAAATTGGAATATTTAAAAGTTTAAGGACTAATTTAAAAGAAGGGACATAGTTTGGGGACACATAATGCAATTAACTCTTTGTTTATTTTTGAAACAGAGGCAGTGCAGCGAGCTGCTACGGTTGCTGAAGGAGAGGGTGGTGCTAAGGTGGAAGCAATTCATTTAGAAAGAATTCTCCCTCAATTACTCCTTGATTTTTAAGGTGTTTAACTCACCAACTAATGCCTTTAATTTTTGTGAAGAATCTTGTGATTATAGTTTTTTTTTTTTAATTTGGTATACATCATTAATTGTAAATAAAAGGGAATTGTTCGATTTTCTTGTAAGGAAAGAGAACGAATGTGGTAATTTCACCATATGATTAACCTAATATGTTTTGTTTCATTTAAGCAAAAAGGCATAAGATATCTTTGTACTTTAAAAAAATTAATGTGACATTCGTATTATTTTTCTCTCAATGTGACCCTTCAACTTAGAAATTAAGCCCAATGTGACCATTTGACCAATATTTTTCATTGTTGATCGTTACGGTGCTGACAGTTCACGGTGTTGACGTGACGCTCTACAATTGTTGATAACTTGACATAGCAGATGAGCTAAATTGGTAACTTAAACACGGAAGATGGCTTAGGGTGGGCATGGGTCTGATCAGGTCGGATTTTTGGCCAACTCGACTTCGACCCGAATATTATACTTCACCCAAACTCGACTTTAGAAATGTTCCACCCGACCCAATTTTTTGAAACAAAAACCGACCCGACCCGACCATAAAAGTCAGCTCTAAAATCATGCAAAACCCATTAATTAGGGTTCATTCAAAATGAAATAAACTAAAAAATCAACAGATTCAAACCAAAAGAAATTTAAGGTTTAAAATTCATTCTTATATTTATCAATTTAGAGTAAAATATAACTATTTTATACTCCAATAAATTTATAAAATATTGAATTAAAATACAACAAAAAATATGTGTACCAAAAAAAAACTTTAGGATCGAATTCATGAATTTGCAGTGAAAGAGAAACATATTTGATTTCGCAGCTACCACTCTCGACTGAATCAATATGTCTTGGATTTGAGATTCGAGTCTTTAGTTTCTAAGTTTTAGAATTTTAGATTCAATGAAAAAAATGGTTAACAAATAGAAGAAATAGAAGAACAAAGGAAGATGGAAAATAGAAGATGAAAAGTAGAAGATTAAATCAATGAGAAGAAATACATAGTAAAGGAAAGGAAAAGAATTGAAAGAAAAAAACCAGAGTGGTACTTGGAAGGGCAACAAAAAGAAAAAGAAAAAAAGGAGATAGGGAGAAAATAAAGAAACCCTAACACACACATATATAGAGAGAGAAAATAAAGAAACCCTAACACACACACATATATAGTGGCAGTTTTGTAAATACATTAATAATATATACCGGATCGAGTTAGATCAGGTCAGATTTTTTTAGTGTTTAACCCGAACCCGATCCTAACCTGAATTGTAACCCCCTAGACCCGGCCTATGCGTTTCGACTAAGTCTAGTGGATCACATACATGATTCTTAGAGACATTTTCTGAAACCGTTATTCAATCATTGTAAAATCACATTATAAATGACATGATATTATACTATCAAAACCCAACACATAAATATAATACAAATAAGTAAAAAAAATTAATTTAAAACATGTCTTAAAAATCAAAATCACGATAAACCGAATATTAATAGCAAAAGTGTAATCACTATAAAATCCAATACTTTAAAATAAGGTCCATGTCACCAAAATAAAGTCAACCTGAATGATAAAAACATTACAATCAAATATACTTCAAGAGATATGTTGATCCTCCAAGTGCTCAATCCGGGGTATCTAACCAACAGTATCTGAAAGGGGGAAAAATATTTTCGAAAGGTGAGCTAGGCTCAGTGTGTCCCACATTACCATAAAATCACAATAGGTACAATAAACGAGTAATAGTTCAGTAAACCATCATAATTTCATAATAGAGTTTAACTTTTGAAAATCATAATTTAAACCCTTTTCTTGTGCACCATCTGCAGTTCCCAAAACTGTGTCCATATAGCTTACTTTAAGCACATATCAAAAAGGAAGCCAACCTAAGGATAGGCTTTAGAGCTTGTATCCTTAAGTCCGTAAGTCCATAAGTCCATATAGCTTACCTTAAGCACACAACAAAGAAAGCCAACCTAATGAAGCATCTTGGGCTCGCGAGTCTGCCCAAGAGTCACATTAGGTCCGTACTGTTTATTAGCTTGATCAGAGCTATACCATTGTAATTCAATCCAACCCTAAATCAATATTTTCAATCAATATAATTTATGCAATAAGCATAATTTCCATAAATTCGTAATCATATATAGGTGAAAACCAATAATCATATATCAGTCATTGTCCATAAACCATCAATAAACAGTAAATCATATCTTTCAATGTACCATATTTCAAAACAAATAAAATAATTAAATAGTACTTAGGGAACACACCTCGATAATAGGTTCAAATAGTAGATTTACTGATTGCTGGTTTCACAACGCTCTGCTATAGTTTTTGAACGTGGTTTAACTGATCTAGAAGAGTTAGGTTGAACTGTCGAACGATCCGAAAAGTCTCTTATACCTTCAAATAATAATAATTTATCAGTCCCAAATCTTACTTAATTGTTCAAAGCTAAAATTCTTAAGTATATAAGTATTTTCAGGGTTTAACTATTAATTTAGAGGATTTCGAGTCTGAATTTGGTCAAACGGATTACAGAATCGGAATCAGGACGTTGAAAAACATAAAGTATAACTTTTTGAAAATTTAAATTATTGGTCAAAGTCAACCACTTTGACCATCGATTTGGAGGCCTTCGGGTTCGAATTTGACGAAACGGACTTCAGAAACGGATTCGGAACGTCGAAAACTATCAGAATATGTATACTCGGAAAAGATTAACGGTCGTTTAATGGTCGGTCAAAGCCATTTCAAGTGTTGGTCAAAGAAAGTTAACGGTCAACGGTCGGGTCGGGTCGGAACGGTTCAGACCGGTCAAACCGATTCAGATCGGTCAAACCAGTTTTCCAGCTGCTCACTCTCCCTACGGTGGCGCGTGAGACATCCTCCGGGGCTCTAAAAATCACAGAAAAATTTCTACAAATTATTTTGAGCGATTTCGAGATACTTACAACGATCGGTTCCAATTTTTGAACGGCGGAGAGCTCGATTTTAAATTGGCCGAAACTTTGACTGCTCCACCTCCTCACGTGCCGCCGTCGACGGAGACCAAGGTTAACACCGGCGGACTCGAAACGGCACAAGGAACACGATGGTGCATGAGGTGTCGTAAACAAAGCAACGATCAGCGATGAATTTGAGATTTTCCCGGCGATCGAGCTAAATAAAACGTCGAGACTTTGACTGGAAATTCCTGACGTTTAGCAGCGTTTCGCTTCAATTAATTTGAAGGGTTTGTTCCTCGCTCGATGATGAACACAACGGTGGTTTCAAAATGACGATCGAAATTCGGACGGCGTCGGAATCGAGGTTGGTAACTGGTGTAGGGGAAAGGGAATTTCTGAATTGGTTTTCTGTGTTTTCACGCAGAAACCAATTCATTTCCTTTAAAAGAAAAACCTGCCGACACTCAAAGGTATAACTCAGGGCTTGGTCATTGAATTTTTTTCAACTTCTAAAATGGACTTCAAAATTTCAAAACTTTCAATTTAGTCCTCATAATTTACCAATTTTCACAATTAACCTCCAATTTCAATTTAATATTATTCTAAATTTTTCCGGGTTGTTACGTGAATTTTAAAAGAAAAAACCCGGTCGGAACCTGTCAGATCCGGGTTTCATTCCAATCCCTAGATGAACTACCACGTTAGTACCGTAGACCACCACATAAACACCGTAAACTACTATATCAACACCGTAATTATAAAACAACGAAAAATGTTGGTCAAAGGATCACATTGAGTTTGATTTCTGAGTTGGAAAACTACATGAAGAGAAAAATAATAGGACACATTAATTTTTTTTTCTAAAAATATAGAGACCTCTGATGCAATCTATCATAATCAGGAGTGTGATATGGGGTCGATGATCTCAAACCGTCCCTAAGCATTTATCTTGGAGAAATATTGCATCATCTATTTGATCTTAATATTGGTACACCTAGACTTTACATGAGCCTAAAAAAAGATGGCATCCTATCCAATGCCCATCCCAAGATAGGCATCCAAATACCATGAAAAAAGGTTAAAAAATAACTAAAAAAATCAGTATTTAACAAACCTAAAATAGAAGTCGACGATTGATATCAACAAAGTGGAGTACCTTAAAGGCGTGATCAAAGTGCAAAAAGTGTTACACCCATTTCCCGTATAATTTTCCTTACACGATTCATAGATGTCACATCAAATAATCAAAACATTTCTTAACCTAAAATAGGTAAAATCTAATTTCTTTCACAAATTCAATATTTGTACATTTATTATAAAATAAGTAAACTTGGAAAATAAAAATATAACATTTCAACTTCTGTTTCAAATCCAGTTTTAGGCAGTAAACGGGGTTGTTACTCTATTCCATATAATAAATAAAAATTGTCTCATTTAAAATCTCATTTAAAGTAATAATCAAAACATAGTTTAGTATCATAATATTTGTACATACTAAATTATATTTGATATTGATTATATTAATAGTCTGCAGGCATTCCTTATTCATATACATGCCAGCTAGAAACTTTAGAATACTATAGGATTCCATCACTGTTACATGTAATTATCCCTTGATGATTGATGCCAAGCTCAACTCCTTACTCTTCTCGCTATCTTTTACCTACGAGTGAAAATCATCACATGCTAAGTATACACTTAGTGAGACAATTATAGAAATATTCAAGGCAATGCAACACATAAATATAAATGAGTAACAATATTCAATGCATTATGATCACTTTACATGCATTTCCAATCATGCTACTAATATGAACATGATATGAATCACATATAAATTTCTTACCAATATACTTGTCATGTATTCCATAAGCTTATTCACTTGTTTATCATTTATTAACCAATAAGCCATAGCCTAAACGTAAACCTATGAAGACTCTAGGTCTTCGAGTCAAAGATGCTCCGAATTGCTTACCATATACACTGGGTGTCTGTTGAGTTAATCGATCTACGGAATCGGCCAAGAGGGGGGGTGAATTGGCAATTAAAATTTTGGTGGAAGCTTTTGCAGAAAATTAAAAGTAATTGCACATCGATTTAGAGTGGTTCGACTTTCTCAATCATAGTCT